CCCTTTGAGAAGCAGCTCTTGATCTGCTATTCTGCCTTATTTGTCAATGATGTATTAAATTATCATGTGACATGGGCTGTCAGTCATGAGCTGTGTGCTATTTGATCCACCAAACTACCTCACTGGACATTCACAGCAGCAATACACTATATAGATGGTTGGATCTAAGCAGATACACAGGGCACAATGAAGTTACATGAAGAAGTTGACAAAGCCTGTGGACTACTAACAGTACACCTTCTGTCTCATAGTGTGCACCTTAGGCTTTGTTGGATGTGCTTTATGACTAATTGACTGAGAAACAGAAGACTAAGGCCTGCTTTACAGATGGTCCTGAGTGCTGTGCAGTCCACCCAGAAGTGGGCACCTGTAGCATTGCTGTCCCATTCTGCAATCAACATGAAAGACACTGAGAAAGGGAAATCTTCAAAGTGGGCATAATTTTGGTTGTGATCATGTACCTTCCTTGGCATAAAAATGATCAGATGTGGTATTATATACTGATGTTTATATACTGTTGTAGTAATGATTTGGCTGGAGAGTCAGAGATTTGGACATATGATTGGAAAATTGGAGTAAAAGACGTTTAGGAAAGGAGTATGTGGGCAGACCACCCCAAACACGAAGATATTTGTGTCTCACAAAACTGCTCACCAAACCTAATATCAGCAGAGGATTTTAATAACCAAGTATATAGGTTGGCTGTTTATTGAGTACTAATTTATCTCTTATTCCTTCTTTATTGGCTCATGGGACACATGAACATACTTGTCATGGTGGCACAGACGGAAGGTATACACGGGCTCAACAGCATGGACTCTTTTTCACCAAGACTGACCTGGTGCAGTTGCTGCTCAGTGTTAAATCTGGAAACAACAGAGACAACTCTGTGCTCCTGATACCATGTCATTCTGCAGCATGACCAGCCAGAAACCAGGTGACAGATGGACTACCTCAGTTCACTTCTATAGTAAAAATGACAGTGATTTGTTCTTATTGGAAGAGATACTTCTGGTGATGGATTTACCTTTCCTGAAGGTCAATGATTCGGATAAAGTACCAATTTTGGATTAATAAGTGCTTCTATAGTATTCCACATAGTGTTTCTCACCAAAGAACTCACTTCATGTATAAAGAAGTAGGATGATGCTGGTATTCGTTACGCTTCTCTTGCTGTGATAAAATATCATGGCCAAAAGTAACTTAAAAGAAAGTTTATTTTTGCTTACGGTTGCAGAGAGCTACATCCATAATGGTAGGAATGGCACGGCATCAGACAGGCATGGCATCAGACAGGCATGGCATCAGACAGGCATGGCAGCAGACAGGTATGGCATCAGACAGGCATGGCATCAGACAGGCATGGCAGCAGGAGCAGGGAGCTCACATCTCAATCACACACAGGAAACAGAAACAGGAAGTTGGGTGAGGCTGTAAGCCCTCAAATACCATGCCTCAAGATGTACTTCCGTCAGTAAGGCTGTACCTAAACATTCTATAATCTCCCCAAATAGCACCACCAACTGTTAACCATTGTCCAAATGCACAAGCCTATGTAGGCAAATCCATCACCAGAAGAAGTATCTTTTCCAATAAGAACAAATCACTGTCATTTTTTAGTATAGAAGTGAACTGATGTAGTCCACCTGTCACCTGGTTTCTGGCTGGTCATGCTACACAATGGCGTGGTATCAGGAACACAGAGTTAGTCTCTGTTGTTTCCAGTCATTCAGACTGCCATGTGCTCCATCGTCTTGAAGCAGCTGACTTGAACGAATGGTAGAATGGCTTTTTAAAGACATAGTTACAGTGGAGGAAAATGAATAGTAGAAATTATATGGAGGTAACTGAATCTCCATATAGTTCTCCCTCAAGGTGGATCCTGTCTTCTAACCTTTATATATGAACATTTACGTGAAAGTAATTCTGTGGATCCCAGGAAACTAGAAAGGATCTCATGCTAAATGGGAAACGGAATCTTTAGTGGAAGTAGAATGTCTATGATATTTGACTGGAAAGGGGAATGCTGGGAGTGGAGAGGTGTGAGAAGCTGTGGCTGGGACACAGAGGAAAGGCGGCAACCCAAACTAAAGATGCTGGAAAACACCACAAGGAAACATGAGTCTTGATAGGGGAACAAAATTAAAATTAATAGTTTAAATACAGGTACTTGGTGTCGGTAGAAAAAGCTGTAAACCCTGAATCATGAGTTATTTACAAAAACCTGTGTCAAGGATGATACTCCCCTGAGTTGTTGGTCAGGGAGTCTCATGGGATGGGGGCAAGATGTTCCAGGAGGTATTCAAAAAAGATGACTGGCAGCTCGCAGCTCTACTGCCAACCAAGTTCCCACCCTATGCCCAGCACTGACCGGAGCTCCAGAGCTCCAAGATCTCACCGCCCTGCTCGCTTAATTCCCACTGGTGGGTCACTACCACGCCACTCCCGTGCTTCAAACCCCCAAGGCCTTTGAGGGGCACTTTGTGCAGACCCACGCTTTGCCTCCGTACCTTTCTCTCTCGAACTAGGTCAAGTCGCTGGGAGAAGAAAAACACCACACAGAGTTTAGCAATAATGGTAACTCAATCTCTGGGTGCAACAACCAAAACCTCATCTTGTAAGCCTTATTGACTCTAATCCTACGGTGGCAGATCCTTGCGTATCTGCCATGGTAGCGGGAAACTCTACTGCTACATCTCGACCATGTGCTAACCCCAGTCCAAAAGCCTCTATCTCCCTCTCTATCTCCTCTTCCTCCGTCCAACCCGGAAGTCCCACCTCCTAGTGGCCCAGTGATTGGCTCCTTTATTCATTAGAGGATGGTTCACATGAAGTCATTGAGTACGTGACTCATTCCTTGTCTGTAGCCCCACCCAGGAGAGCGTAATTAACATCAGAATACAAAATACTAGGGCTGTTCACAACAGCAAGACCTGCCTCTGCTCACCAGGACTAGGTAGTAAAACCAGATTGCTGAAGATGCCCCATTTCTTGATCACAAGACATAGAAAATCAAGCTAGAACTTGGCTGGAAATCTCTTCCTGGCTGGCTATCTCTTGCAAAGCCAGAAGGTGCATGTAGGCTGTTGGGGGAGAGTTGTTATCGACACTCTTACTTAACTGTGGACCCTGTGTGCAACTTTACTGACAGGCTAGATAAGATAAGCCCACAAGTACTATAGTAGTTGGGGATACCCAACTGGTATCTGGTTAGGTTTTGTGTCAACCACCAGGAAGGAATTGACAGTCAAAAAGCCTGTGGTTAGGGAGGTTATGTTTCCCAATGGGGAAGTACTGCTGTTGCCTTGCTAAATGGACATGATGTTCCCATTAAGTTTCGTCCTAATAACTGTTTTTGTTCATAGGATAGTAGTTCTCTGCTTAGGTCAGTGAATTTGTTTTTGCAGTGGTCAGTGGTGACTGAGGAGATACAACTGGTCAAAGTACTCTCAGAATAAATGACCACTGGTTATCTAGCAATAAATGAGACATCTAATCAGCCACGTACAAGACTCAGTGAATATCACAGAAAGAGGGTGGGAAGAATCTCTGAGCTGGAGGAAGGGAGTTGGTGATGCTGGTGGGCTGATGACTTCTGGGCATGATATGACTGCTGCACTCTTGGACTCACCCCAGCTATGACTACTTATGCAAAACGTGTATAACATTAGTCCTGTACGTAAGTATTCTATTTAGGGAACAAGAGAGACTTGTGCAATCCCACCCCTTCCTGAGGATTTATTTATGGCAGTTGGTGGTTGATAGGGAAAGGAGACACCTGTTCTTCAGGTATAGACATTGGCAAGGTGCTCATGAACCTGTAAAGAAACCCTAATGAAATTCACTGGGTTGTTAAAAGAAAACAAAATGGAGATGTGGAAGTAGAGGAGTGGCTAGTTTGGAAGGGAAGGAGTATTAATGGGAGTGGAAGGAGGCTGAAGAGGAGAGTAGGGCTTAATAGGATCAAAGTGCATTATGCACATGCATGAAAATGTCATAATGTTTATCCATATGTAATTGATATATGATAATAAGAACATATCTCCAGTTCCACCTTAAAAAAAATGCAGTTATATAGCCAGCTATATAACTGCCAGCAGTCTGGAATGCTGAGGTTCTCCAGAAGGTGCGATGCTGATGCTCAAATCAGTGCCCAGTATGTGGTTTTTTCCCATTTTTCAGGCTTCAGAGGTCCAGGATGGAGATGTGGAAATGGAAATGATACCTCATTGGCATCCCCATGACCCACTAGCCAAACCTGCTTTGTAGCTTATGCTCTGTTGGCCTAGAAGTCTTGATTCCAGAAGTGGGGAAGCTTTGGCCAGGAGGAACTGAAGACATCCCACTGAACTGGAAGCTAAGATAACTCTCTAGCCACTTTGGAAGCAACACTAGAGTTAAGAGGAGTAGTTGACTCAGACCAAAGGGAAATTGGACTCTTTCCCCACAATGGAGGTAAGGAAGATCATATCAAATGCAAGAGATCTGCATTGTGATTAAAGCCAACAGGAAACTACGACTCAACCCAGGTAGGATGATACATAACCTAGACCCTTCAAGAGTGAGGGCATCGGTCACTCCTCTAGGTAAAGGACCAAGACTGCCTGAGGTGCTTGCCGAGGGTGGAGGGACTAGGGAATGGGTGTAGAAGATAGTTACAGCTCTAGCTAAGGCTACAAGATCTGTTATAGAAATGAGGATTGTTATTCCCATGAATGTTTTTGTCCCAATTTTGTTCAGAATATGTTTGAGTAGAGAGATGTGCATAGTAAGCAAATATCTGTATTTTCATTCCCTTTTCTGTTCCTTTACCCAGTAATGTAATGACTGAGATGCTATCAGTAATTAAATGTTCTTAAATTTATATTGTAGTTAAGCCATAGAACACTAAAAGACTGCATTCCTCCAGGGACCTTGTCAGTTATTCTGAGGGAAAACCAGTGCATTTTCACTGGTAATGAGATAACTATACAATATTAGGCTTAACTAAGAAACGTGTTTTCAAGCAGCCCCTCCCCTAGAGTGGGTGGCACTTTTCACTGGTAACCACCTACAGAAAAGGAAGGCTTGCCGGGAAACTGCTGTTTGCTTGACTGCCTCCACTTCCTGCTGGTGAGAGCATTAATCCCTGTTGCAGCTGTCCATCCTCACTGACATCAGACTCTAGTTTCTTCAGGATCCAGTGCGTACTGAAGATCAGTAGCTCTCCAGGACTCTTCCAGGCATCAGATTTGGAAGTGCTGAGGGATCTGGCTTTTGTTACCTGAGCAGCTCCCAGTTTCCAGCCATTGTGGGACTGGGCTGTGCGGACCCACCCAGCACACTGTAAGTCATTCGTGGAAGCTCTCTCTTACATGCACACTCTATTGGTTCCGTTCCTTAGAGAACCCTACCTAAAGCAGTCTGTTGATCTCTCCCGCTTTCCCCCCAGCAATACTGGGCTTCCTCAGCTATCTTCTTCTCTCTCGTTCCTTTCCTCATAGCTCAGTGGGGCCTGCTCTAGGAAAAAGATAAAGAATATTGCTATATGACCCTTAATTTGAGGGACTAAATAGATTATATTTCAACTCAGGTTCTGGGGCCCTGGGAGGCCCACCAATTGATTCCAGTTCCTCCCTGACCTTTATCTCTTGTCTGTCATATTGCCTCTTTTTCCATAATCATTTACAACAAGAAATCAAATTCTTCTTTTTGTTATTTATTTTATTAATCTGTTCCCAATCTTTCTATTTCTTATTCATAATGGAAGCATCAGACTTTTTAGAGAGGTTAATTTTGTGCTTTCTGAGAGGATCTGGCTTTAAAACTTCTCCGTTGCCACACATGACTGAATGACAAACTAGCCAGCCTTAGCCTTCTGTTTGCTTTTCAGCAGGGGATAACAAGAGATGGAGAAATCAGAGGGAAGAAAGTCTGTTTCCCAGGCCACAGCGGAGAATGGCATGGAGAACCCAGGGCTGGAACTCATGGTAATTCAGGATGATGGGCTGCTGTGTGGCTCTGGTTGCTTTCTCAGTCTCTTGATCCCCTGACAGGGCTGCATGGCTGATCTCACGTTTACCTGTGCTTATAGGAAGTCGGAAATCTTGAGCAAGGCAAAATACTGGAGGAAGTGACACAGGGACACAGCCTGGAGGACGGCTTGGGGCATTCCTCTCTCTGGAGGTAAGGGTGTTTCAGAGTCCAGCTTAGTTAGCAACTAAGAACCTGAGGGGTAGGGGGCAGGGAAGAAAAGTGACTGAGAAGCTACTCATCTTCAGGTTGCTTAACTCACAGTCAGGACCAGGATCACTGTATGTTACTACGTAAACATGTGTGTATTTTATAGACTTAACTGCATGTAAGCCCATGACATAGATAAGCCCATCAGTACCTGCAGGGATGACATTAAAAAAAGAATAGCAACAGCAATAATAATAACAGTAAATGGCCAACATTTATCGACCACTACTATGTGTAATTATCTATGATGAACAATAGAGTTTGTACATTTTTGTAATCACAACATTTCATAGTTTGGTTAGAAGTTCAACAGTCAATAATGTAAATTCTATGGTCAGTCTGCTTGGAGCCATAACTGAACTCTGCCCAGGAATGTCCTGGTTTGTTTTGTTTTGTTTTTCTTGTTTGGTTTTGGGTCTTTGTATTTCTCTTCTTTTTCTTTCTTCTATTTGCTTTTTGATAGAATGTTACTGCCTAGTCACAGTTGGCCTGGTACTCACTTTATAAACTAGGGTGCCCTTGGATTTACAGATATGCTCTTGCCTCAAACTCCTGAGGGCTGGGATTATATTCTTGCTGTTAAATACATGAGTGGAATTTCATGCTGGCATAGTGGTACAAACCTGTCAACTCTGTACCTTGAAGGGTGATACAGGAAGATGAGTTCTGGTCTTAGTGAGTATGAGAATAGTCTGGGAAGTATAGTAAGATGCTCTTTCACCCCCCTAAAGTTATTTTTTTCCTCTTTAAGCATAGTGTAGACATGAATGTTATAGATATTTTTTACTTACCTACCAAGGGCTGATCCGAGACCTCCACCACCACACACAGCAGGAGTGATGATCCTTAAGCACTTCTCTTGTTCCTCAGTTAATCAAATAGCACCAAAAATGTTCCTTGCTAAAGAAATAAACACAAGAGCCCAGCTTGAAATGGGCATGGGCCGTAGTCATGAGATAGAATAGCTTCCCTTGGAAAACTCTACTGTCTATCAGAACAAATGCAACCTCCAGCTTGAAGAGAGAAGAGTTCTGAAGGAAGAAGCTGAGAGTAGGTTGGAAAACCAATTGTATAGGTTCTTCATGTCTGCCTGTCCACCTACTTATTTATGTATCTATGTGTCTATGTGTCTATGTATGTATCTATGTATCTCATATCTAATATGTATGTATTTATGTGTATATCTATGTATCTATCTATCGACCTATCTATATATCAATCATCTATCTATCTATCTATCTATCTATCTATCTATCTATCTATCTCATTCTGTCACTCAGCCTGACCTCAAAACTCTTCTTGGCTCAGCTGGGCATACAGCTGTGACTGTGACAACTCCCCTAACTTTGTGGGGTTTTTTTTTGTTTGTTTGTTTTTAGACTTTTGTCATTGCTTCTCCATAGTATGGTAAAGATCAGATACCAGCTATCTCAGGGCTGTATCAAGCAAAGGATGTGGATGTTTTGTAGAGGAAAGTTCTCTCCCAGACAACACAACTACTGAGTCTCAGTAGTGGCTATGTTCTGGTTTAGGTCCTTTCTCATTGTATTTGGACTGAGAACCTTTAGAACTATCTATCTCCAGCTTCTCCAGCTCTTCATAGCTATCACCTCTGATTTAAACATGGTGGCCTTCCCTGATAGACTCTGGCTCAGTCCTTTCTTAGTTTTACACACTGGTTATTAGCCTCTGTTGGTGTGTGAGACGCAGTTGCCATTCTCCTTTGGATGGCTTTGTAAATTTCTTATGCAACAATATCATCCAGATCTTCAGTTCAAAACCAGTTGTGTAAAAAGAACTAATTATTCTAGCTAGCACATATAAAAGACACACAATCCGTGTATTTTACTTACCAGCTGTAAGCCTAGATTGGGCAGACTTTGGAGCTATTTTAACATATCCCAGCCATATGTCTTTGTTACTTGCTGTTTCTCTTGGCCATGTGCTCATGGTCCATCTCTTCTTATGGCCGCCTCTTGGGGAGGAAGAAGGAAGAAGGTGTCATGGGGTAGATGGGTTGTGAGCACATGGCCCTGAGGGCTGGCCAGTTGGAGTAGGAGCATCCCAGGGAGAACATGGCAAGTGATATCTTGAGGTCATTGACAGGGAAGTAGACAAAATAGCATAGAGGGTTGGTATCTGCCCAGCTCTAATGATTTAAGGCTTATTATAACTATGAAAGATTGTTTCTTTTATTTGGGAACTAAATGATCTAAGGTGGGGTAGAAACCTCCAAATAATATTTAACACAACACAGTTGTGTACATAACTTTGGCTATGAAAACTCATACTTCAGATGATGGGTTTGTGGTTAGGAGACAATGGACAAAATCTCTTGCCTGTGACTTATTTTTACAATACCAGAGCATGTCCTCTCTTGCTTTGTAGTAGCTTATCCAACTGGTATTTAATTGGGTGTAAAATAAGACATTCAACCTTTTGAAAGATTCTGGACATCTGTGCTGGGCAATCCTCACCATTTTCTCACACCATCAGTTGTTTCTGAGTTGACTCCTTCAGTTCCTGCTTTTATTTCGTTCTTCAACTCAGAGTAGTAAAGACACAGCCAGGGTCATGCTGTCTGCATTCACTGGAGCTGGACTGTCTGAAAGATGCCTCAAGTTTTCCACAGCTTGAGCTGAATGAATTAACAGCTAAATGAAGAGCTCCAGATTCTAGCTGTTACACAGGGCGCTGTCTCCCTGGGTTAGGAGAGTTTCTACATCTTGTAAATAGTTTTTAACTGAGAAAGCTAATGGACATCTTTGCTGTTGGATGTGGTGACCACTAAAGTCATGCTTAGCTAGAGCTTCTGACCATGCTCGCCCATTTGCCTTCCACCTACCTCATGGGGATGGAGGCAGAAAGCCTGTGAGAAGGTTGTCTTTAGTCAATACCTGCCAAGTCTCCATACAAATGCTTGGAGGTACAGGCAACGCGTCAATGTTCACTCACCTAGCAGTTAAACTTCTCAATTCAATTTCTAGGTATAGCACTGATACAAGTGCTCAAACTGTACCGTTATGTAGGGTAAGAGCTTGGTACTGGTAGCAAGATGCTGGACCAGGCAAGATACAGAGCTCACGGACACTTGTGCATGTGCTTCTATGACTACTTGATTAGTTTAAAAGGTTGAAATGCTTTTCTCTTTTCACTTTGGAACATTTCTCATGTATAGTCCATCATTGTTTTTTTTTTCTTTTTAATACTGAGTTCTAACCTGGTATTCTAGAATTCCATTGTTCATGGGTTTTGTAAATATTTAGGTGATTTCTGAAGTTCTTTTTTTTTTTAAAGATTTATTTATTTATTTTATGTATGTGAGTACAATGCCACTCAGATCTCATTAGAGATGGTTGTGAGCCACCATGTGGTTGCTGGGAATTAAACTCAGGACCTTTGGAAGAACAGTCGGTGCTCTTAACCACTGAACCATCTCTCCAGCCCTGAAGTTCTTATTGAACTTCCCAGGAAATGGTGCTGGTGAAACCCTAAGCCTGTGCATTTACTCTTAGACTCATGTATATCCCCTCCTCTTTTGCAGTGGCTTTGCTCAACAAGTATTTAATCAGGCATAGTTTTAAGCCAGCTTAATCTTGTGAATTGGGAAACAGGTAGCATATTTAAACTAGAATAACCAGAAAAGAATTTACTCATAAAGAGACCACTGTGTGCAAATAAAGTATAATGACAGGTGTATGAAAATAGCATAATAAACTCCAATACTAGCCTAAAAGAGAATTAAGAAAAAAGCAAAGAGTGGCTGGAGAGATGGCTCAGTGGTTAAGTACATGCACTGCTCTTTCAGAGGTCCCATGCTCAGCACCTGGGGGCCACACCCAGTGGCTTACAACTGCCTGTGATCCTAGCTTCACGAGCTCTGGTGGCTTCCTCTGGCCTCTGCATGCAAAGTCCTCACCTCCACAAATACTCACATAACAACAGCAAACAAAGATGGATATTTGAAAATGTTGTTAGTAGAGCTAGGCACGGGAAAGATGGTACCAGATCTCAGATGTGAACAGTGAACACAGTCTGTTCCTAGACCAGAAGGATATAGGCAAGAGAACCCGGTGGTATAGTCAGATCAGAGTCTCTCCCTGGTTGGATGTGAACTTTTTGTATTGTGATCTCTGTGAGGCTCCATGGGCAGAAACGCACTAGATGAGCCAAAGGGTTTGGAGTCCAGTGGAATGACCTCACAGACTGAGCTCTCGGGACCTAAGCAGGGTGGAGTGAGGACCTGGAGCAGCAAATTAAAGACCTGGAACTCATGGATATTCTAGAATCAAAAATGTACTTTGTGAATGATGTTCAGATTGCAAGAGCAATCACCTCCAGGGTTATTAGAGGATCATTGTTGTCAGGTACTGACACTGTAAACTTTCTGACGCACTACTTCTCCACTAAGCACAGATGGTGCAGAGACCTTGAGATCCCAAACATCCTACTGAGGGGATGGGCTTAGACAAGCCAAGGGTGATAAGGATAGTCTCCCTCTCTCTCACTTCCCTGTATCTGAGAATGTACACTGTGCTGAGGCAAGCCAGGGTTAGACTTCCTGCAGAACATAAGGGGAGAGAGGTGAGACTGAAGAAGGAAGGATATAGGGGCTATGGTTATAACAGGTTCAACCCTAAGTTAAGTGGTCTAGGCACTAATAAAGATGAGACCCAAAACTGTCTGTACCAAGACCCCAGACCGTTTAGCGGCTGGTCTCATCTGTGGCTAAGCACCATACCTTATACCACCATAGTCAGACAGGTCACTTCTGGCTGGGTTCACTTTCTTTGGAGCTTCCAAGAGTGTGGGCATGGGATCATTTTGCACACAAGGCTGTGGTATGCTAAGGACACTTAGGATGGCAAAGGCAGATGATGGGGTTAGGTAAGGTGCAGCCTGGGATGATGATGATGATGATGATGATGATGGAGAGTTTAGGTTCAGAAGCCAGGCTACTCAGAGACAAGCTCTCCTCCTGACAATCTCTGTGACCTTGGGAAAGTTACTTGGCTTCCTGGCTTTCAGATTGCAATAGCAACCACCTCCAGGGTTATTAGAGGATCAATGTTGTTAGTATTTGCGAGTCCTTTGAGCCCAAACACATGGGAAAGACTCTACAAAGGAATCTTGAGTAGTTCTTCCTGAGCATCTTCTCTCAGGCCTGTCAACCTAGAGTTTGGTGTTGTTTGCTCTCTTATCTGCCAATGTATGAACAACTACTCAAAGTACTAGCTTTGTGTGGTTTTAGGGTGCTGTGATAGATTAGCCTCTAAGAAGGACAGGAGGACAATGGAAGCCAAGCAATGCCTGTTCTTAGGAGAAACACAGATCATTGTCCACTTCTGTGGTAGCAAATCACCAATGACGTAGCTACTCTTGGCTCACTCAGCCTTTCTGACCTGATGCACAGGCGCAAGGTTTGAGCTAGCCTTTGGGGGCCTTGTTGGAGTAATATCGAACATCCTCATCTGATTAATTTTCTTTATTAAGAACAAACTTTGCCTGGTCCATCGAGTTCAAAGAATTGCACAAACAGGATGAAGTAGTGCTCACATTGTAATTTTGGCTTCTCATCAGGAGGACTCTTCAGCCTTTCACCAAGGCGAGAAGTTTCTTTGAAAGACATGCTGGTTTATTCAAAAAGATCCTGCTTGGTCTCTTGTGTTTAGGTGAGATCATGAGAATTCATGGAGGGGGAAACACGAGCATTTTTACAACTGTCAACTGTGTCAAGATTATTGCTGGGTGAAAACTAATAGCACTCATAAATAAGCCAGAAGGCTATTTGAGGTATAGATCCTAACTGCCTGTAGGTAAATATAATTTACTGCCTCATACCCAGAAGGATAAGTGAGATCCAAAGATAAGCTACAGTTCAAAACCACACTATTTGACAGGTTTGATTTTTTTTTTTAAAGAAAAATTGTTTTTAGTGCTTGGGTTTGATTCAGAGCACATGTCTGTAGTATTTATGAAAGACGCCCTTATACATAACTTATTTACCACTTTATACTTAAAATCAGTGCTGTACATTCTTTTTGAAAGACAGAAAACCTTGTTTATGGTATGCTGTCAGTGGCATGTGGAACTTTGGTTAGGTGCAGCTGGGATGGTGAGACCACACATTATTCTTTGTCCTTTGGGGTGAATCTGGGGCCTGAGGACAGCATCATGTGCCTTTCCCTCCTAGTGCCAGCCTCCTTACATGGCTTTACTCAAGAAAAAGTTCTCTCACTTGACATCTCAACATAGCTGGGAGAGAGCGAGGGCAGCAGCTGAACGAGGAGGGGGCAAGACTTCCCCAGGAGCAGAGAGGAATGGCATCAGGCTTTGTGGAAGCTCTGCCTTCTTGACTCCCACTCTTCATCTTCCCTTCACAGCTTACACTGCCTACTTCCTGGCCGCTTGCATCCTGAACTTCCAGAGGGCGCTTGCCTTGTTTGTCATCACCTGTCTTGTGATCTTCATCCTGGTCTGCCATTTTCTGAAAAAATTCTTTGCTAAAAAATTAATAAGATGCTTGAAGCCCTTGGAAAACACCCGCCTGAGACTTTGGGTAAAGTGGTAAGTGTGTCGATCGGATTTTATTGCTGTTCATAAAATACCTAAGAACAATGCAAAGGCTGTCCTGGCCCTCAGTTTCAGAGGCTTAGTGTAGGATCACTTAGCCCCATCTGTGTTGGCTGGGGATAGGGCAGAATATCATGATGGAAAGTGAACAGGGGACGCAAAGCTGTTCACATCATGGAGGCCAGGAGGCAAGTAGGGCAAGGGACCTGGCACAAGGTGTAAAAGGGCATGTCCCAGTGATTGACTTCCATCAGTTGGATCTCACCTTTCATAGCTTCCACCACATCCTAATAGCCCTTTTAATTGTGTCAATGGACTAACTCACTGATGAGGTCAAAGCACTCTTCTTGTCTCCTTTCCCCTCCCTTTCTCTTTCTCATCCTTTTCTTTATCATGAGTCAAGGTCTCTTGTCCAGGCTGGTCTCAGAACTCTTTATGTAGCCAAGGATGTAGCAAAGGATGCCTTTGGACTTCTGATCCTCCTGCCTCCACCTCTTGAGTGCCAGGGTTACACATACATTACCACACTTAGTTCATGGAGTGCTGGGGATTGAACCCAAGGCCTTGTGCATCCTAGGCAAGCCTCTACCTAGTCAATAGATGGCTGAGCATCAAAGCCATCTCTTTAATATCTTCTTCTGACAGTTCCTGAGTGGGCTCCAGGCTCTTACCTATACAAAGGCAAAATGTAGAGAACACATAGCAGCAACAGGCCTTTGAGCTCCAGTCAAGTTTCTGATAGTCTTGGGTCAGCATTGCTGGGGCAGATGGGCCTCCATATCAGGGAGGAGTTTCAGTCTGAAATCCTAAGAGTCCATGACAGACATGAGAAAACCCATGCCTCTCCTCAGTGGAGTGGTCAGAACAGATGCTTGCACTTACATCAAGCTATTAGCCAGGTTATTTCTCTCTGCCCTGTGATTTAGTCCCTTCCCCTCTGGTCCTCCAGAGCCCCTCTACCTGCTTTTGTCTTTACAGCCCCTTAGAGCAGTGGCTATCAACCTTCCTAATGCTGTGACCTTTTAATGTAATCCCTCATGCTGTAGTAACCCCAACCAGAAAATGGTTTAATTGGTATCCTAGTTGTAATTTTGCCACTGTTATGTATTGTTGTACTATTATCGTAATATAAATATCTGATATGTATGATACCTGATATACGACCCTCTAAAGGCGTCTTGACCCACAGGTTGAGAGACACCCTTAGAGTCTAGGAGCACACTTGCTCATAAGCATAAGTGAACTATCTTTTTCAATTTTATGTGCATGAGTGTTTTGTCTGCATGTATGTGTGTGTGTGCCAAATGTATGGCTGGTGACCACTGTGCTCAGAAGAGGGCATCAGATCCCTTGGGACTGGAGTTACAGATGATTGGTGAGCCACCATGTGGGTGCTGGGAATTGATCCTGTGTCTGCCATAAGAATAAGTGTTCTCAGCTGCTCAGCCAGTTCTCCAATCCCAATCTGAAGTTCACATCCCTCCTACCTCCTCTTCCTAAGGCTTGCACTACATGACTGGCTCCTTATTTATTTTGGTAGGCTAGGGGCTGGACCCAGGGCCTTGTATGTTCTAGGCAGATGCTCTGCTAAGTGACATCCTCAGCCTCTAGTCTATGTAGTAAAGGCTGTAAGTCCATAGATGATGCATTCGACTCCAACCTTTGGAGTGGTTAAAAAAGGAGTAGCAATCCATAGGGGACCAGCTCATTATTCTCTTCTGTTCTCAGTATTTTTATTAGTCACTGGAAGACCTTCATGGATGAGTCTGTACATCACATTTTATTGATATGTCTATATGAGAAACGAGAAGTTATGTGGTTTGTATTCTCAGATTAGACACTTATTTATGTAAATTGGGGCAGGGAGGAGGAGAAGCTAGGGAGCTACCAGATGATTCTCAAGGCCCATCTCTGTCTAATGAGGAATAAGCTTTTGCATTGTCTCACTGAGCCTCTGACTAAGGGGGGGTCTCTGCTGCTCATCGCCTGAGTTGGTGACAGAGCTTTGCCGTTCCTCCTCCAGGGTGTTCGTGGGAGCTTCTGTTGTTGGCCTTATCCTCTGGCTGGCTCTCGACACAGCTCAACGGCCAGAGCAGCTGATCTCCTTCGCAGGAATCTGTATGTTCATCCTCATCCTCTTTGCCTGCTCCAAACATCACAGTGCGGTGAGTTTGGGGTATTTAGGTTGAGCACAGATCACACAGCAAGGGCTGTGTAGAAATGATAAAGTGCCCATGTCAGGTACTCGTGAGAATGTCAGAGCTAAGCAATACCTCCTGGAATCTTCCTCTGACAGGTTTATTCCTATGCGAAGTTTGAAAACTTTTAGAGGCCTTCGGCCTGTTGATTGTTACAGTGGTATAAATGAGTCTAGTCAGCATTAAAGAAAAATAAAATGAAATAAAAAGAAAGAAAAAAGAAAGAAAACAGAGTATGGCAGAGAATCAGATGGCATTGTGCAGGAATGATGTTTGCAGAAGTTATTTGTATGTATGTGTCTTTACTATAATGTAACTTATTTTAAAAATCAGTATGGACATACTTGCCTGTGCACAAGAATGTTACCATATTTTTTCTTACCCGTCTTCCTGTTCCCTGTGCTACTTTTATGGTAGAACTCCATGGCTGAGGGCAACTTGGGGAGGGAAAGGTTTTATTTGTCTTATGCTTTCTCATCACTGTTCATCATCGAAGGAAGTCAGAACAGGAACTCAAACAGGGTGGGATTGTGGAGGCAGGAGCTGATGCAGATGCTGTAGAGGGGTGCTGCTTACTGCCTTGTTCAACATGGCTTGCTCAGCATGCTTTCTTATAGAACCCAGGACCACCAGCCCAGGAGTAGCACCACTCACAATGGACTGGGCCCTCCACCATCAATCACTAATTAAGAATTCTATACAGTCTTGTTTCCAGCCCAATCTTATGGAGGTATTTCTCAATTGGGGTTCCTTCCCCTTGGATGATGAGTTTGTGTCAAGTTGACATAGAACTAGCCAGCACAGCTTGTTACCCCAGACTGTTGACACTCTCACTTAGCACCACTCCCAGCACTTGAATTAGGCAATGGCTGAGCAAAGTTTGTGACTCATGCTGGAATGTTTTCTTTTTGGGCTCAGGTGTGCTGGAGGACAGTGTTTTGGGGCCTCGGCCTGCAGTTCATCTTTGGGATTTTGGTCATCAGAACTGAACCTGGATTTAATGCATTTCAATGGCTGGGAGATCAGATCCAGGTACAGGGAATTGGATGTCAGAGTTTTCTTCACCAGGAACCCCAAAGAATGTAGATTTGAGGGAAGCAGCAGGCTTTGGAACTATGCCTTAATGATGATGGTGTGGCAGAATCTGGTCGGGTAAAGAGAGAAAGTAATGGGGTTCAGATGAGAATAAGGAATCCAGTTGGGTAGAGAGTAATGAGATTCAGGTATTATACAGAATCTTGTTGGGGAGAGAGAGAGAGAGAGAGAGAGAGAGAGAGAGAGAGAGAGAGAGAGAGAGAGAGAGAGAG